AAAACATTTATCCTGCTTAAATTGTGAGGCAGAAATCTTTCAGGACCCTCAGATGAGGTATGAAATTCATTTTTCCTTAAAATTTTTACATACACATGGGTAAGTTAACGCATTTCTGTGTATACACTGTAGCGTGTAAATGAAGGTTAAAAGTATCGGTCCCAGGGATCAAACTTAAGTTGTCAGGCTTATGGACAGCTGCCTTTACTGCTGAGCCACTCACAGGCTTCAATTTCATTTCTTTTATCGAACTGTCTTATAGCACCAGGAATTATTTAGCAACTATTCAGATACATACACTTAGTTTCTGTGTCTCTACACTGTCTTCCTCCATGGCTTGAATAGATTCTGGACTTTATACACAAAAGGAAACACGAAGACCGAAGTGTCTGTGCTTCCAGCTGCTCTCAGCATGTAAGAAAGGAGTTTGTCTAAAAGGAGGTGCTGGACTCCCCAGGTCTAATTTAAATTTCACAGTTTAATTAAAATTTCCCCCTCCTCTGTTTTTCTTTTATTAATCAAAAATATTTAGCTCTCCTAAAAAATTATGAGCCCAAAAGATACAGTTAACAGTGAAAGGAAGCCCATGAAATGTGAGAAAGTAGTAACAAATCTTTAGGAATATATATATATATAGTTATTGCTAGAGAAATGGCTCCACTAAAGGCTAGGCTCACAACTCAAAGTATAAGAATATATAATTATCTGGACATGGCAGTTGGGAGGCCGATGCAGGAGAATTGTCACAAGTTTAAGGCCAGCCTGGGTTACATAGTAAATCTCAGGCCCTTCTGGGTTATGTCCCCCATGTCCTAAAACACACACATACACACAGAAAGAGAGACAGAATTACTAAAATATAACAACATTCAAAACCAATTAACCAAGCAACCAACCAAAAACCCTGATTAAAAAGTAAAGTTTTGAATAGTCACTCACCAAAGAAGTGCACAAGAAGATTCTCTGCTGGACTTGGAAGATGGAACAAGAGTTTGTTGCCTGGGCAACAAAAAAGACACTATCCAAAAAAAACAAAACAGTTGAGGATTCAGGATATTTGTCTTGGGCACGCTTGTGATCACAAAATTATTTTCTGCTGCAGTGGTTCTCAACACAGGAGTTGCATATCAGATGTCTTATGTATTAGATATTTACAATATGACTCATAACAGCAAAATAACAGCCATGAAAGAGCAACTAAGTACTTTGCGGTCGGGGGGCATCTCAACATGAGTAACTATTAAAGGTCACAGCATTAAGAAGGTTGAGAACCATTGATCTATAATGATGTTGGCAGTTCCAACCAAGTTAAAACTGGAGCCAGCTGTGGTGTCACCACTTGCATTCCCAGCACTGGGAGGCTGAGGAGGACAATCAGGAGCTGGAAACTGTGTGTGGGCTACATAATAAGACCCTGCTACAAAATACAGAAATAAAAATTTAAAAATACCACTCAGCAGCCCCACATTCAATTATATAGTACTGGAGGTGGAGATACGGCTCTGTGGTTAAGAGCACTTGTTGCTCTTGCAGATAACGAGGTTCGATTCCCAGAACCCATCTGGTAGTTCACAACTGTCTTACGGCTTTATTGCTGTGAAGAGAAACCATGACCACATCAATTCTTATAAAGAAAACCATTTAGTTGGGGCTGGCTTATAGGTTCAAGATTTAGTCCATTATCATCATGGTGGGAGCCATGGTAGCATGCAGGCAGACGTGGAGTTGGAGGAGCTGAGATTTTTGTATCAGATAGGAGGCAGCAGAAAGGAAGACTCAGCCACTAGGTCTGGCTTGAGCTTCTGAGACCTCAAAGCTCACTCACTACTGACACATTTTCTCCAATAGCCACACCTACTCCAACAAAGTCATATCCCCTAATAGTGCCACTGCCTATGAGCCTAGAGGGGTCATTTTCTTTCAAACCACCACATCAAACATCTATAAATTCGGTTCCAGGGGAAGCTAATAGGCACACAGGTGATGCACATACATGCACACAGGCAAAACATTCATTCGCATAAAACAAATCTTCAAAAACATTTAAATAAGTGCTAATGGAGTTTTAGGGCCCGAGTTCTGTCTCCAAGTCCTGATGTGCCAGGCTCAACTGCCTATCCTAATGTTTCAAAGATGACAAAGAACAGGATAATCAACTTGACTATGTTTGGATGAATAGTGTCTAATACTGTCTATTTGTCAAGCAGTCCTTGGAAATACCTTGAAATTAGATTAACAGAGGTAGGAAGACCCACCCTAACTGTGGGCAGCCCCACCCCATGGGCTGGTGTCCTGGACTAATTACAAAGGAGAAAGTAAGTTGAGCACTAGCATTCCTTGATCACTCTACTTTCGGATTGAAGACATAATGTGACTAGTTGTTTCAGGTTCCCGCTTCATGACTTCCTGTCTTGCTGGGCTCTCCCCTGAATTATGAGTGCAAATAAGCCCCTCCTCCTTAAGATGCTTGTGTCAGAGCTTTTGATCACAGCAATGGGAAAACTAACTAATAAAGATGGATAAAGGAGTTCGGTGGCCCTAAATCCCTACATCCAAGGATAACCTTGACTTTATAATCTCCCCTCCTCATCCACACTCACGTGTAAGCATCCATAATTAAACCTAGTGAGTCACACACATAAAAGGGGAAAGTACAAGGACTGATGTGGAAAATGAGTCAGAAGGAGGGGGAAGGAGAAAAAAGGGGGTTACAGTAAGTGGGTTTGATCAAAATACATTATAAACACAAGAATACAATGAAGCCATTATCTATAATTAATGCATGCTATTAAAAAGAAGAGCGGGGACATAAAAGAAGAGTGGGGAGTATATAAGTTTAATTAGGGTTGCTTACATGAGCAAAGGTGAAGGATTATTTACAGGAGTTAGATGGGCAACTTAATCAGTTGTTATACCACTGAAGAAAATACCTCCTTTCCTCAAGCAATCATTAACTGCCCCTAGCTCCTCAGGGAAGAGTGGGACCTCACGAGCCCTCTCCCATGTTCACAACATCAAGACAGGTACTGTCTCGAACAGTTCTTAGCTACTAGTGAGTTCATGTCATGCCAGGTAGACGACATTCCACAACACGCCTACCTTTCTACCCTTCCTCTGGCTCTCAGATTTTACCATTACGACCCCCACCCCACCCCCTAACCCACCAAGTGATGTTCCTTGAGTCTTGGAAGGAGAGATTTAGATGTTCCATTTAGGGCTGAGCATTCAAGCCACTTAATCTCAGCACTTTGAGCAGTTACGAGTCTCTGTATTAACCACTACTGTTAGTATTCTGTCTAAACTCCACGTCCAGTTATCTGGCAACACCCAGGTATGCTCCTCCCCACAGTTACCTGGCAACAGCCAGATAGGCCTGCCCACTATAAAAGGGGCTGCTTGCCTCCTCTTCTCTCGTTCTCTTGCTCTCTTGCCTCTAGCTTCTCTCTGTCCCCTCGTCTCTCCCCACTTTCCTTCCCCCTCTCTCCACATGGTCATGGCCGGCCTCCACTTTTCTCCTCTCTCTCTCTCTCCTCTTTCTCTGTCATTTTCTCCCATTTTTCTCCCCACCTTTGCCCTCTGCCCTGAATAAACCCCCTCCCCTTTGGAACCGTTTGGTCTGGTGTTGTATGTTCTAAGTGCAAAATCTAACGACTACTACTGCAAAATGAAGCTTCTTTGCCCAAAGCTTAAAGCCGTACTGTTTAGTTATAAACATAAATACTTGGAAGGCTGTTAGATAGGCACACACATCTATCTACTCAGCAAAACAACTTCCCCACTAGGACATATGACCTGCCCAGACACAGACTTGACCAGGTCTACTGTGCCAGGTATGAATCCCCTCCTACGGAGTGGGCCTCAAATCAAGCAGGAAAGAGGATGGCTACCCACTTAACAGTTTGTCACTATTGCAAAAGTGGGTACATCTTGCCTGGGTCACAGCAGGGCAGGAATGTTAGTGACTTCTTCCATACGGCATCCTCTAGTGTTATTAAAGCTAACCATCCCAGAGTAGTCATCCAGCCCAGTTCCAGCTTGACTTATGGACATACATGGTTTCTACAGCAGTAGGATCTTATCATCTACATCTGGAAAGCTACCAGCAACAGTAACAATGGGGCTGGAGAGGTGGCTTAGCTGCTAAAAGAACTCAAGTTTGGTTTCTAGTACCTAAGTTTTGTGGCTCACAATCATCTATAACTCTGTCTCCAAGGTACCTGATGAGATATCTCTGGCCTCTGCTGACATCTGCATTCATATGCAGACACACATTCAGAATTAAAAATAAATTTTGGGGCTAGGGATGGCTCAGCGGTTTAGGTCACGTGTTGCTTTTGCAGAGGACCTGGTCTAGTCCCAGCACCCACATGATTCACAATTATCTGTGACTTCCTATCTAGGGGAATCCAACCCCCTCTTCTGGCCTCTGTGAGTACTAGACACTCATAATACACTTAGTATATGAGGCAAAGCACTCGTGCATATAAAATAAATCTAAAACGACTAAAAATGAATCTTAAAAAGTTGTAAACAATGTATGTGTACCAAAGAATACCAAATTAAACACCAAGAGTATCTCATTGCCAGTTAATTTTTGTATTCACTTCTGGGTGGGATTCCTTTTTGGACACTTTGAACACTGCAAAGCCAGAAGGTGAAGATAAACTCAAAACAAACCTCACATCCAAAGGCTTTATCGTGTGCAAACTCCCGTTTGCCTGCCTTATTATAGTACTAGTTAATCATTACCTTCCACTTAGAAAGCTATGCTCCAAGTAGATTTGGTTTTATTTCATATATTTCATATATATATATTTTTTAACATACTCGGGTTTTTGCATGTAGTAGGCTCCTTTAGTCACACCCCTAAATTGGGTAATTGAAAAGCCCTTACTTCAGAGCAAAGGAGCGAGGCCTGCCCCGCCTCTCAGCACAGCCAATCAGCGACGCGCGCGGGAAGGCCGCACAGCTGCGGGCCGAGCGAGTCGATGAATCGGCTCCGGACTCCTGCGCGAGCTCACGGTGTCTGAGGTAGGCGGCTCGGCGTCTTTCGCGTCCGGGCTGGCCCCGGTCGCTCTGGAAGAGCAGGCAGGACCCCCGACGTGAGTGGGCGCTTTGCGGTGTGTCGGGGCGGTCCGCGGGGCTATGCGGGAGGCGACGCGGCAGCGCGGGAGGCGTCGGGGCCTGGGCCATGGCGATCCCCTGTTCTTTCCTACGCGGACAGATAGCGCCGGCCAGTCATTCCCCTGCCTCATCTTCTGTTTCCCTGCGAATACTGAGCGGCCAACCTAGGGCAAGAGCACTCTTGCTTGTGTTATCTGAAACCTAGGCCAGAATCTGCAACAAATACTGCCAAAAAATTATGTATATACATTGGATTTGTTGTAGTAATGGTATGAAACTCCAAATCTAATTTGAGTATATAAAGTTAGGAGATGCCGTAAGTCCGTGTGTTTATAGTTGGGTGCAAAAACGTCAGGTTTTCTCCATGAGTCTGATTGTAAAAGTGCTCTTCTCAGCGTTGTCTGGGCACACATTGGAAATGAAAATTGTTGGGTGGCACACGCCTTTAATCCTAGCACTCTGGAGGCAGAGGCTGGCTGATCTCTGAGTTCGAGGCCATCCTGGTCTACAGGGTGAGTTCCAGGACAGATAGAGATACGTAGAGAAACCTGTCTGGAAAAACCAAAACCAAAACCAAAAAAACCAAACAAACACAACCACCACCACCACCACAACAACAACAAAAAACTCTTAAGCGCCAGGAAAGGAGGAACACGTGTGAGCCAAATAGCGACTCCCCGCTTCTAAGATACCACAGAATTTGATTCCCCTCATCCCGGTTAGTCCTGCTTGGCTGGTTAGACGTTTTTTGTTGTTGTTTTATTTTTCGAGACAGGGTCTCTCTGTGTAGCCCTGGCTGTCCTGGAACTCGCTCTGTAAACCAGGCTGGCCTCGAACTCAGAAATCTGCCTGCCTCTGCCTCCCAAGTGCTGGGATTAAAGGCGTGCGCCACCACTGCCTGGCTTGGTTAGACGTTTAATTCATTGAAGTCAGTGACTTTTTTGAGGATTTCCATTTTGTGACTGTCAGCCTGCACGTCTTAAGAGCTACACCAGGGTTGCTCCTGTTAGAAGCCCCTCCCTCTTCTGGTTTTCCCACCTGTGACCCAGCAGCATTTGCTCAGAGGCCATGGACAAGTTCCGTGTTTTTCTTATGAGACAGTGGTACCTTTTCCAGAAGTTTTCGTAAGAATTAGAGGAATATATGTTTCAGTAACAAAAAGTTCTCTATTATTGTATGAGAGTATGTTTTTTTTTATATACTGTAATTGTGCATACTGTATTATATGTGTAGTAGTTGAGGCAATGAGAGAATGATACAGACAAACTGGTGTCCTCTGACAAGTCATAGAGTAACACAGGGTTTTCCATAAACTAAGGCAACATAGGAAGATTTTGTGATGATGGTTTTGTTTTTCGTACCAGTCTATTTATGTAGCACAGGCTGGCCTTAGCTCAGAAACTTGTCTTTAAAATAAGCTCGAAGCAAGTCTAGATTGCAGCTTTGGAGGAATGTGGCATCAGTTCTAAGTTTTTTTGTTGTAGTTTTCAAAGGGTTCTAGTCTTAATGACCACCGGACTCTTACAGGAGGGCTTGAATTTCCTTGATTCTGGTTTTGTTTTCTTCCACCCCCCCTTTTTGATTTCCCAGCTCACTCTGCTGTGGAATCTGACTCTGGCCTTCCATCATTCTGTAGTCTTGGTTAACTCTGCACCTGCTGGTCATTATTGGAGAAAGTAACATGGTTGCCAGGGGTGTGACTTTGTGAGTGATGCCGCAGGCTGTCAGTCACCTTAAGTAATGCCCTCTGCTTTTTTTTTTTTCTAAATATCAATTACCTTCGCCCTTAACTCCTGTTTTTTATTTGAGAAAATTTGTCTTCCTTCTCACTCGTTCTCTTAATGAAGAAGTATGCCCTGCCCATGAGAGGACACAGGATGCCTTGTTGTGTCTTTGATATCAGTTTATATGCTCGCTCTTCTTAACTCTTTAGAATTGCTCCTTTCCCTATCACTCTGTTAGTAAATGGTTAATGAATTAACTCATCAAATGACCTTTTCTCGGGCTTTACTGAATTTCTTTGAAATATTGAATATGACCAATACATGTTTCTCTCAGCCAAGCCTCTCCTTTGTGTCTTTTTTTTTCCCTTAAAATCTCTTTTCCTTTAAAAATTTTATGGATATTTTGCCTCTATGTATGTCTGTGTACCATGTGTATGCTGGGCCTACAGAGGGCAGAAAAGGGAGTCAGATCCCCTGGAACTGGAGACTTCCAGCCTGTTCTGAGCTGCTGTGTGGATGTTGAGACTAGAACCATGGGTCCTCTGGAAGAGCGGCCAGTACTTTTAGCCCCTGAGCTGTCTCTCTGACCCCTTCCTTGGTGTCTTCCCTTTGCTGTTTTTGTTTTTTCTTTTGTTCTTGCCTGTTGCTCTAGTTCAGCCTTCAGTTTCTTCTGTATGTAGTTCTTCTAAGGCTCTACTTCATAGCTTTATTTTTAATCACACAGTTACTCAGTTTTTCTGTTTCCAGAGTATGAAATGATGTTAGTATTTAGATTTTCTATTTTCAAGCATAAACATTAAACAATATCAGTCAGCATATTACTATATTTGATCAATTCCTGTGATTGTCACTGTTTTAGCCACTCTTTTTTGTTTGTTTGTTTGTTTTGTTTTGTTTTTCGAGACAAGGTCTCTCTGTGTAGCCCTGGCTGTCCTGGAACTCACTCTGTAGACCAGGCTGGCCTCGAACTCAGAAATCTGCCTGCCTCTGCCTCCCAAATGCTGGGATTAAAGGCGTGCGCCACCACTGCCTGGCATAACAAAGTATCTTAAACTGGGCAGTGTAAATAACAAGCCAGTCTTCTGACAGCTCTATAGACTAAGAAGACCTAGTGGAAGGTGTGGCCTGGTTGGTTTCTTCTGAGGCATGGCTTTTGTTGAATGACTTTCCTGTCAAGACAATTTTTTTGAATTTTTATTTATGCTTTTTTTTTTTTAATGTATGAGCGCTCTGTCTGCATGTGTGGCTGCATGCCCAAAGAGGGCATCAGATCCCATGCTTGTGAGCCACCATGTGGTTTCTGGAAATTGAACTCAGTACCTCTGGAAGAACAGCTAGTGCTCTTAACTGCTGAACCATCTATCTCTCCAGCCCTTTGACAAGACTATTTTCATTCACTTCAGATAAAGTGTGAGCCCTACCTCCAGCCCCGAGCAGGCCTGAAAGACCTTGTTTACCACAATAACCAAATAATAGGACCTAGGTGGAGTTACCCACCTTGGCTGCCCGTACAACCTGCTACAGGAACTTAGAAGAATAAACTACCCGCTGAGCTTGCCTTGAGACATCTCCAGGAGTGACTAAGGATGGGTTTCTCCCCACCCATCTCCCGGCTGAAATAAGAAGGGGTTCGGTGGGGTTTTCCCTTTAAATTAGAAGAGCTGAATATTAAACTTCGAGCCTTGATCAGAATACTTTGTCTTGGCTTCATGCTTTTCTCACCTCTCCATCCCCCCTTTTTCATTTCCAGCCCCCCTTTCAGGTGAACTCTGTTTGTCCGTGGCCTGGCGAAATTATTAAATTCTTACAGTGGGGTCATCATCACTGCTCTTCCTCTCCCTGTCCCACCATATTCATCCTTGGCTCACCAGTTACTGAAGAATGGACTTTGTTTTTCCATATCATGAACTACTAGTTCCCTGTACTTCAAGTTTCACTAAGCTTGCTATTCCTCTGTGAAATCTTCCTGGATTTTCATAATCAGATAAGCTTCCTTCATTTCTGAACTCCTAAAATCCTTTGACTACTTGCTAAGACTTGAGTCATCTGCATTTGCTTCTTAACACTTACTGAGCTTGATTTGCTAGCTGCAAGGCTGGGTGCTCGGCCTTGGGGATATGGATGTGTAAGTGGGAAGGTGAGTGCAGATGTGGGTAAGACACTCCCTTTCACAGAAGTGTTCACATTGCACTGAGGTTTTCTACCTGGGCTGCACAGTGAAATCACCCACGGAGCTTTATGAATCTCACTGGTTGGGCTTTAATTCTAGAGATGCTGATTTAATTGGTCTGGAAAGTGGCCAGAGCTGTAGGTGTTTTCGAGCTCTATGGTACAGTACATAGCCACAACCGAGAGACCCTTTGCTGATGGGAGAGACAGACAAGTATAGGGCTCAGTTCTGTGTTTTGCTATAATAATAAAGTATCAGGGAAGTACAGAGAGTGCTTAATTTAGATTAGGCTTACCTTTAATTTTACAAGCAAAACAGCTGTTTGCTGTTCTCATCTTGTGGTTACTGTCCTGTAGACTGTGTGCTGATGGAAATATTCTGTTTGCAGTGTTTTACGATTATGTGGCAGTTAAAGTATTCAGCTTTTCACATTAGCTGTGTTCCACGTGCTCGGTGTCCTCATGTGGCTACGAAATGGACATGAGATGCCTGAGCAGGGTATTCTCTGGATGATGTGGAGTCACTCAAACCTCGTTTGAGGCTTTTTAAAATTTTTTATTTTTTCCATGTATATGCCTATGTGGGTATATGTGCATGTGTATGTGGGTGCCTACAGAATCTAAAAGAGAAGTTTGGATCCCCTGAAGTTGAAGTTACAGACACTTCCGAGCCACTCAGTGTGGATGCTGAGAACTGGACTCAGGTCCTCTGGAAGAGTAGCAAGTGCTCTTAGCCAGTGAGACACTTTAGACACTTGTTTTAGCATTAATTTCATATCTTTTGAAATTATTTGCTTCAAAAATTAGGGAAGGGTTGGCAAGATGGCTCAGCTGGTAAGCTTGAGAGAGCTGTTTTCAGATCCCAGAGGCCACATGGTGAAGGAGAAAGCCAGCTGCTGTAGGTTGTCCTGGGACCCCACATGTGTGTGGTGGCAGATATGTGGAAGGCAAGGTCAGACTCCCAAAATAAGTTCAGAAGCTGAGTGCCATGAGGCACACCTGCAGTGTCAGCTAATCATGAAACTGAGGAAGGGTAGTTTGAGCTTAGTCTGGGTAACATAGACCTCAATACCTTAAAACAAAAACAAGGCATGGTTTGTTGCATTTTAATATATTCACAGATGCGTCTAACCATTGTCACAGTTTTAGAGTGTTGTTCATTACGTGTAGCCTTCAGGGACAATTCCCACATAAACCCAAAACCCAGCATTAAGCACACATGAATTAATTTTCTGTCATTATACATTTGTGTTTCTTTACATTCATAGGAATGGAATCATGATGTGGTCTTTTCTGACTGGTTTCTTGTAGAACATTTTTTAATTTCATTTATGTTGTAGAATGGTATCAGCACTTAATTGCTTTTATGCCTAAATTTTTTTTTTTTTTGGTTTTTCAAGACAGGGTTTCTCTGTGTAGCCCTGGCTGTCCTGGAACTCACTCTGTAGACCAGGCTGGCCTCGAACTCAGAAATCCACCTGCCTCTGCCTCCCAAGTGCTGGGATTAAAGGCGTGCGCCACCACCGCCCGGCCTAAATATTCTTGAGTATGGCTATACACAGTAAGAATTTTGATTTCTTTCAAAATGTAGACATGTTATGGGAATGTTTTTCTTTTATTCCCAGGTGAGGGATATAAGGCTGCTTCAGATTGTCCAAAGCAGCTGACTATGATTTGCCTTGTGCTCTACCAGGGGCTTGATTTTGCCAGCTGCAAATAGTGTAATTGTGGGGACTCTTTAGAGGTTATATAAATGCCAGAGCCCCTAGAGATAAGGAGGCTGCTGTTCCCCGTTTCTGCTGGATTTTGTTGTTGCGGTTTGTCAAGTGGTCATGAGAGATAAGAAGCAGGAATTGGATATCCTGACAATGAAGATCATCATTATTGCCCCAAGGAAAGATGGCTCAGAGGTTAAGAGCACCAGCTGCTCTTCAGAGGTTCTGAGTTCAATTCCCAGCAACCACATGGGATCTGATGCCCTCCACTGGTCTGCAGGCATACAAGCAGGCAACTCGATGCCCCTAATCAGCAGGAAGTAGTCTAAGAGATCACTCCCTTTCTCCTCTGACCTTCTTTCTCTACTGCCTATCTGGGGGAGGGGGGGAAGGGGGTGTATGAGGTAAGGGTGGAGAAGGGTCACAGGAAAAAGAACCCAATAAAGCAGAGCCAAATCTGTGGTTACAGCTATACCACATTTTACTTACTCACTTTATAGATGGACTTTTGGGCTATTTCTATAGTTTGAATTGTGTGCCCATCATTCTCATACAAGTTTTTATGTGGCTATTTATCTTTTGAGTGTAGAATAGAAAAGCTAGAAATCAAATAACAGAGCCATATTAAAAATGCCTATATTTTATGAGACTACTTTGTATGTGTGTGAATGTATATATATGAATGTATATATACACACACATAGATTTAGATACAAATACCATTTGTCTTAGGGTTTCCATTGCTGAGAGCAGACACCATGACCAAGCAGTTCTTATAAAGGACAACATTTAATTGGGGCTGGCTTACAGTTTTAGAGGTTCAGTCCATTATCATTATTGTGGGAAGTATGACAGTATGCAGGCAGACATGGTGCTGGAGGAGCTGAGAGTTCTACACCTTGATCTAAAGGCAGCCAAGAGGAGAGTGTCTTCTACAGGCATCCAGAAGGGGGACTCTCTTTCCATACTGGGCAGAGCTTGAACATCGAGCCCTCAAAGTCCAACCCCACAGTGATGCACTTCCTTCAGGAGGCCATACCTCCTAATAGTACCACTCCCTGAGTCCACAGGGGCCAAACCTATTCAAAGCACCACACCATTTTATTGTATTTTTTAAAGAGATTGTATCATGTATCCCAGGCTGGCCTCAAAGCCAGTATGTAGCTAAGGCTCACCTTAAACTTCTGATCTTCTGTATCTACCTCCCAATGTGAGGATTACAAGTGGACACTATAATGCTTGGTTTGGAGATGCTGGAATTGAACCCAGGGCTTGTACTTGCTGGTGAAGTACCTGGAGCCATTTTACTGGGTTGTTTTGCTTGAATTTTATGTACATTCTTTTTTTTTTCTCTCTCTCTCTCTTTTTTTTTTTTTTTTTTAAAGATTTATTTATTTATTATATGAAAGTACACTGTAGCTGTCTTCAGACACCCATATGAGGGCATCGATCTCATTGTAGATGGTCGTGAGCCACCATGTGGTTGCTGGGATTTGAACTCATGACCTCTAGAAGAGCAGTCAGTGCTCTTAGCCGCTGAGCCATCTCACCAGCCCTCTCTCTCTCTTTTTAAAGATTTACTTATATACACAGTGTTCTGCCATTTTGCCTGCTTGTATGCCTGCAGACCAGAAGAGGGCATCAGATCTCATGTGGTTGCTGGGAATTGAACACAGAACCTCTGGAAGAACAGCTGGTACTCTTAACCTCTGAGCCATCTTTCCAGCCCTTATGTACACTTTTTTATGTCCTTTATTCAGAAAGTGTTAACTATAGAAGGAAGTAGTTTTTATTACAGTTGTATTACAATTACAATAATAAAAACAATTATTTAAAAATAGTATTTCATTACTTTTTATTTTTAAGCCTTATTCAGGATGCTGTGTTCACGGCTCCTTTGTGGATGTCTGTTGCTGATAACTGGCTATGCTCATGATGATGACTGGATTGACCCAACAGATATGCTTAACTATGACGCCGCCTCAGGGACAATGAGGAAATCTCAGGTACTTGTTTTTTAAATGCACTGACGAAACCTTCTCTGTCGTGATGGGAATAGTGCAGTTTTGTTGCTTTATACAGAGCTGTGAGTCAGAGATGATTAGCTGTCATGCAAAATCCTTTTTTTCTTTGTCTTCCATGCTGGGTCTTGAGATGCTAGACAAACACTCACATCCGTCTGGTTATTTCTGTTTGAATTTGGCTGTAAAGCCCATCAAGGAGTGAGCCAGTTTAGTTTTGGTTCTTAGAATGTGTCATTGAGACTTACTCTTTGGTGGTTTAATGCAAGAGAAGAATTTAAGAAGCCCAGTCATAAAATGATAGACTTTTAGTCTCTATTCACTGGAGCCTGTTTTTAAACTCAAGCATAAAGAATAAAACCTCTGCTTTGACTTAGGTGAAATACGGTACATCAGAGAAAGAGGAAGTAAACCCTGACTTGTCAGATGCCAAGGAACTGTCAGACTGTTTGCACAGACTGGATTCTTTAACTCACAAGGTTTGATCTTGTTTTTCCATTCATAAATTAGATATAACTTATTTATGTCAAGTTACTGTGCTGGCTAGTTTTATGTCAACTTGGGATAAGCTGAAGTCATTTGAGAGGAGGGAGCCTCAGCTGAGAAAATGTCTCCATGAGAAGATCAGGCGGGAGAGGGCCCGGCACACTGTGTAGATGGTGGCACCCCTGGGTTGGTTCTATGAGAAAGCCAGGAAGCAGCACTCCTCCATGGCCTCCGTCAGCTCCTGCTTCCAGGTTTCTGCCCTGAGTGAGTTCCACCTCTGCCTTCCCTCAGTGATGAACAGTCATCTAGAACCAAGTAAACCCTACCCTTCCGAAGGGGCTTTGGTCATGCTCTCTCATCGCACCAATGGAAACCCTAAGACAGTTACTTGTTTACTTGTTTAGGTCAAGTTTTGTATTTGTAATGTTTCTATGTACTATACAGTTATATATTTTATTGGTATAATATTTAGTTGCATCTTGTTTTTTTAAATAGTACTTAGTATTTTTGTAATAACATAATTATGAGATTATAAACTTGTTGGCACAAGGAATAGATTTTATCTTGATTGTTATCACCTGTCATGCTGCTGAGCCGTTGATGACATAACGGATGAACAGATGAGTAAATTGTCTTATTAAAGATTGTTATAGTTCTTCCAAATGTGAAGAGTGGTTATAAATATATGCATACATACATACATACATACATACATACATATGTCATGGTTGTACCATGGAAAGGCTCTGGAATGGGGAGGGAGGTTATCCAGTGGTCACTGAGAACGTGCAGCAGTGCTGACATCATAGTGACAGTGGTGAAGAGAAGAGATAGATGTGACACTTTCATGGGTACGGATAAGGGACAGAGAGCAGATAGAGTGGACGAGTGCTGTGTCTATCTGGGGAGGCAGGGAGAGTGTTAAGTGAGGTACACATGTGTCCTGGTCAAGCTTTCTTTAGTCATAGTTACCAGTAAATCCTAAGGTGCAAAAAATCCTAACCTTCTTGTCTTAGGGATTCCATTGCTGTGAAGAGACACCGTGACCAAGGCAACTCTTATAAGGACAACATTTAATTGGGGCTGGCTTACAGGTTCAGAGGTTCAGTCCATTATCATCATGGTGGGAAACATGGCAGTGTCCAGGCAGGCATGGCATGGGAGGAACTGAGTTCTACATCTTGTTCAAAAAGAAACCAGAAGACTATCTTCCAGGCAGCTAGGAGGGTCTGAAAGCCCACCCCAACAGTGACACACTTCCTTCAACAAGGCCACACCTACTCCACCAAGGGCTCCAGTAGTGCCACTCCTGGGCTAAGCATTTTCAAACCACCACACTTGTCAAACAAAAAATAACAACCAATTCCTTATTCTAAGGGCATTATCAATTTAGAACTTGGCCTTCTCAATAGTCTTTGATGCTGTTGACTTTATTGTATGATTACAGGTTGATAATTGTGAAAAGAAGAAAATGAAAGATTATGAAAGTCAAAGTAATCCTGTTTTTAGGAGATATCTAAATAAGATTTTAATTGAAGCTGCCAAGCTTGGACTTGTAAGTATTTGATGACAAGATTCTAATCATTGTAGTAGATACTTTCATTATTTGTTTCTCATAGTGGAAGAAGTCATGTGCCATGCGTGATGATACACATCTGTTGTCCTAGTTAGTACTTAGGACACTGAGGCAGGAGGATCTCCAGTTCTAGCCCAGTCTGTATCCCCACCAAAAGAGAGAAGTAATAGAACCTCATGTGCTTTAACAGAAAATACTGCTTCATACTCTCCCAAAAGGATGTCTGCACTGATTCTAGGGCCACCTGCATTCCAGTGTTGCTTGGTGGAGGGTAAGCAGTACAGAGCACTCTGGTTTTTTTCTAAGTCCTCTGAGAATTTGCTCAATCAACTCTACTCTTGTGCCTCTGCTGGAACTGAGGTGATGGGGAAATAATCCTGCCCTAACCGTTCTTGTCAGTTTCCTGTTCCCATACGTTCATAGCCATAAAATGTAAAATCATCATTTGAGGACAAGAAAAATGTGTCTTAGTAGTCTGTCTCCTGCTCTTTATTGTGGCAGGTTCTACTGTGGGATTGTGTCTCCCTCATGTGTTACTTACAATGGTGAGAGTACCTTATATTGTTTTGTAGTGATGCAGAGCAAGCCCAGGGCCTTACACGTGCTAGGCAATAGTGTTACCACTGGACACTAACTCTGGTTCTTATATGTTATTTATTTATTCATTCCATATTTTTTAAGACTCACTGTTGCAGTTTAGGGAATCAAGACATGATAAAATCATATAATTTTGCATCTTACATTATTTATTCCTGCAGTTTATTGTGGCTATTAAGTGCTACAGTTGCCACACTTCAGGGTAGGGAGGGATTTCAGTAATTTCGTTATTTGGAATGTCTCTCAAATGTGAAGTGCCACCTACTGTCCCTGCATGCAAGAAGCCCATGATGTACTCTACAGGAAAAAAAAAAAACAAAAAAAACAAAAAAAAACCAAGAAAACATCCAGGCATGAATTATAGGATGGTTGGCAGTGTGTCCCACAGTAATGAGTCAGTCATATTTATGACTTAGGTGTCAACAGAAACAAAGATATATTGATCAATTGACAAGTATTCTGACCAGGGGTGCACAGGAAGCTATCCTATGCTTCCTGTAGGACTGTGACCCAGCACTTGCCAGTGGCTTTGTAGAACCTGGGTACTTCACACAGTGAGGCCACCTGTGGCACAGTGTCTGCAACAGTTTTAATGCTTTATACATGTATTTGGATTTCATGCTAGCCTTTGAGGATAAGTATGTTCTTTGTGATGCTGGCACCTAGAACTATTTACACCACGAGATATTGGGTTCCAAGGTGTTTTTATTTTTTGAGATAAGGTCAAGGCTAATCTTGAACTTAAAAGTTCTTTACATCCTCCTCCTGAGAGCTGGGAATGCATATGTGCCCCCCATATTGGGCCCAAACCGATTTTAACCTCGATGTTTCATTGAGTAATGTAATAGTTGAGTTCCGTTTCTGTTGTCTGTCCTTTGTTAACTGACACAGCCTGATGAAGACAAGGTGGATATGCGGTATGATGCTGAGGTCCTCCTTACCAGACAGACACTATTGGAGATACAGAAATTCCTTGGTGGAGAGGAATGGAAGCCAGGAGCCTTGGATGATGCACTAAGTGACATTTTAATCAATTTTAAGCGTCATGATTCAGAAGCATGGAAGTGGCAATTTGAAGATTATTTTGGAGTAGATCCATATAATGTGTTTATGGTAAGATGACATGAGGGTGACAGGAAGCTTCCTTTGAAAAAGTACTTCCAAAATTAATTCACATAATTAAGAACCCATTCTTAGTTCCTTCCTATAGGGCTGATATAGCAGTAAAATTATACTAGTTTTGTTTGAATCTAGTTCTTTTAAGGCTGTTTAAATGCTATATTCATTTAGTGTGTGTGTGTGTGTGTGTGTGTGTGTGTGTGTGTGTGTGTGTGTGTAGGTAGGTCAGAGGACAACTTGCTGGATTTAGTGTCTCTTTCTCCTGTGTGGTCCTGGGACTGAACTCGGCCTGTCAGGATTGATGACAGGTTCCTTAGCCTCCTGAGCTGCCATCTCCCTGGTCAAGGCTAGCCTTTTTGTTTTTAAACGCATCTTTGGTGGGGTTTGGTGGGGAAGATCACTTAGCAGTAACTCTGATTCCCTTTTCTGTTGATAAGGTGCTCTTGTGTCTGCTCTGCATTGTGGTGATGGTGGCTACTGAGCTCTGGACATACGTTCGCTGGTACACGCAGTTGAAACGAATTTTTATCATCAGTTTTTTCGTCAGTTTAGGATGGAATTGGATATATCTATATAAGGTATTTAGTAAGTTTTTTTTTTTAATTAAATATAAGTTCATAGTAACTGGAGACTGTTAGTTATCCACTCTGAGAGCAGTCTCGCCTCAGATATGGCTGAAGATGGTGGTTGGATTCTCAGCAGTGGAAGTAAGTCAGTAACTGTCAGCACAGGTGATCCTAACAAAAAGACAGTTCTACTTTTATCACTGGCTTACTGTTGCCTAGCACAGAGCAAAATGGACGCATTTTAGAAACACAAAATTTGGGAAATGAGCTTTTATTCTCTATTTAGAAGTGATACCACAGCCATGATTTAAAATGCTATCCCTAAAAATTAGGCTTTTTGAATATAAAAGTTATGTATATTCACCATAGAGAAATTAGAAAACTAAGATACAGATAAACTCATTTTCAAATTTTTAATAATTGTATTACTAATGAAGAATTACTGTTGAATTTTTATTTATTTTTATTTTTTGTGAAAGAGTCTTCCTATGTAGACCAGGCTAGCCTGGAACTTAGAGCTCTGCCTGCCTCCCAGGTGCTCAGATTAAAGGTATAAATCATCCCATGTAGCCTGTTGATTTTTTTTTTTTTTTTTTTTTTTAGGTTTTTTTGAGACAGGGTTTCTCTGTGTAGCCCTGGCTGTCCTGGAACTCACTCTGTAGACCAGGCTGGTCTCGAACTCAGAAATACGCCTGTCTCTGCCTCCCAAGTGCCGGGATTAAAGGCGTGTGGCCTGGCTTAATTATCTTTCAAAATAAGAATAAGATCGTAGGAATGTAAAAAGATTACCGTTTGTAGTAGAATAGTATAATCATGGAAGGGAAAATTTAATTTCAGTCTTCCTGACAAGGGTGAGTCAGGATGGTCGGGGATTTCTGTGAGGACATCGGTGTTACACTTCCTTTCCCTCTGCTCTGGTTTCCGTGTCCCTGAAACAAATTACTTGCACATTAAGCACGTAGACTCTTGGAGGAAGAAAACTTCCTTGCTGGAGTGTTACTTACTTCAGTGAGCTCCTCTGGGAGTGTGGTCTGATGAAAGCTGCCTGCAGGGGAAAGAAGGCTTGGGTCTAGAAGCCCCTCCTCCCAGGTTGAAGGTGTCACGTAGCATTTGCATACAAGCTGTGTGTGTCCTCTCAGTACCTCACATTACCCGTGGGTCACATGCTGCCTGATACAGTGTAAGTGGCTATCCATGTTTAATACCTGTGCAGGTTTTTCAGCCTACTGGATAGCAGCTGTTTATATTAAACTCACTCAGAGCAAAATACCATTTTGTCATGAACTATAAAATAACCTAAGTTGTTTTTTAATATTTTCAGTCATGACATGAACCATATGTGAATTCCTTTTCAATAACAGTCTTGCTGTGTGGAAGTGGTGCATGGCTTGAATACCAGCCCTTGGGAGGCAAAGGCAGTCAGATTTCTGAGTTTAAGGCCAGCCTGCTCTACAGAGTTAGTTCCAAGGCAGCCAGGGCTACACATAAATCCTGTCTTGAATTCCCCACCCCCCCCAAAAAAAAGAAGTTACAAAAAAATTAGTTTTCCTCCATCATAATTATATACAAAGATGGTATGAAGCATTGTAGTTATTTTTTTTAACCATTTTACTGCATTAAGACTGCATTTGTAGCTGGGTGATATAGTACACATCTATAATCACAGTGCTTGGGTGAGGGAAGCCGGTGGGTCAGGAGTTCAAGGTTATCTTTAGGTACCACAGTAAGGCCAACCTGAGCTACACAAGACCTTGTCTCAAAAAGAAGAAGAAGAAAAAAAAAGACTGAAAATAACCAGTCTTTAAATTTGGTTTTCTCAACTAATCCCAGCACTTGGGAGGCAGAGGCAGGTGGATCTCTGAGTTTCAGGCCAGCTTAGTCTACAGAATGAGTTCCAGGACAGCCATGTAGAGAAATGAATAATAAATAAATAAAATAAATAAATAAACCTACAGTTATGTAGAGAAATCCTGTCTCAAAAAAAATATATATATTTTAGGCCTGATAATAGGGGAACAAGTCTTTATTCCTAGCATTTGTGAGGTAGAGTTTGAATTTGAGGACTCCCTGGTCTACATAGCAAGTTTCAGTCCAGCCAGTGAGACCCTGTTTCAAAAAACTTACAAAAAAAAGAAATTAAAGTCTTGTTTGGCTAAATGATATAGAAAATGATAAAATAAGTTCTGTTGGATTTGCATCCTCAGTGGTCAGTTTCTGTATGCTTCCTTGTGCTCTCCAGGTAGCCTTTGCTCAGCATCAGGCTGACATCGCAAAGATGGAGCCATTCAACAATATGTGTGTTGTCAAGATGGACTGGACTGGAAGTCTCTGGGGTAAGGTGAAGGCCAACAACAAAATGACCAGTAATAACAAAATGAATGCCACAGTAAGCTGCCCACGACTGAGTCTTTAATCTGAGAGTGTGCCCAGGGTGTGTGCAGTAGGTGGGGAGAGGAACTGCAGTAATCCAGCTACTCCAGGGGCTCACAGGCTCGGAGCCAAGCTCAGCAAGTTAGCAAGATCTGTTCCAAAGTAAAAAGGGATGGGGTGCAGCTCAGTGTTAGAATGCTTGCACATCTCCGGAAATACCCTAGTACCCTTCCCAAAGAATACACAAAACAACTGCAGATAAAGCCTACTTCCTTAAGTTTAAAAAGTAGCAACTTACTGAACTCATCCAAAGTCACAAGAAGACTGTGTCCGTGCTGTGGTGTGTTCAGTCTGCTGCGGTAGACTGAAGGGTCCTAGGCTCCTTTTCATCACCTAGCCTGCAGCATTTTCTAGGTCTTCAGCAGACATGCACTAAAAGTAAATGTATATATAAAATAATAGCTATTTTAGCTTTAATCTCCTTAGATTAACATAAAGTATTACTTTATGGCTTTCTTATAGATTTTTTTAAACTAAGTGAAAAGTTGTTTTTTATCCTTCCAGATTTTGTAAAAATTATCACTAATGTTAACCACTAACTGTCGAAATCTAGACTGGAACAGTGTAATATTCAAAGACACTTTATAAACACCCATCTATAATGACTGACACAGAATAGATTCTCAGTAGAGTCTACAAGTAGGTCCCAGGATTAACTTAATTTTTTTTCTTAGATCTTTTTTTTTAAAAAAAATGTGTTTGAGTATTTTGTTTGCATGTATGTTTTTGTACCACATGTGTGTCTAGTGTCCAAGGAGGTCAGAAAAAGGCATCGGGTCTCCTGGAACTGGAGCAAATGGTTATGAGCGTCCATGTGGGTGCTGGGAACGGAATCTGGGTATTTTGCAAGAGCAACAAGTATACTTAACCACTGAGCCATCTATCTCCAAACCTACTGTTCCCCCCCTTTTAAGTTGTGAGAGTAACCCAGTTCAGTTTAGGTTCTTGGCCTCAGGAGACAAGATGCTTCCTCTAGTGCAGCCAGATTCCAAACCCGCACAAATCTGTTCTAGAAAAACTTAAGAGAAGATTCACTTTACAAATTTTGTTAGGGAAGGAGAGGAGGGAGGTGGGGCTGCGATTGGGATATAAAGAGAATAAATAAATGAACTAATGAAAGACTCTTAGAGTCCACTTTTTAACGTGAATTTTGCTGAGATAATTAGATTTATAGGTCTCTTCCCTGTAACATTTTACACAGCTACAACACTGTGCTACCTAGCCAGGATATTAACGGACTGGTCTCATTCCACTTCTCAGTTTTACTTATGTTTATTTGTGTGTATGAAAAACTGATTTTTTTACCCTTTGAAAATCTATAAAGCAGACATTTATTTTGTCATGTCCATAAGATTTGTTGAATTTGAATGAATTTTGAGGATATGATTTTGGACTTGAGATGAAATAATTACATTATAGAGTCTATTTAAAATATAAAACAACTCAAAATTTACTAGTGGGTGGACATAGTCAAAACCAAACTGATCTTAACTTGTCAAAGAAATACAACTATGTTTTCCCTTGATTGTTTTTTTGTCTGTTTCTCTATATAGAGTGGTTTAGAAGTTCATGGACCTATAAGGATGACCCATGCCAAAAGTACTATGAGCTCTTATTAGTCAACCCTATTTGGTTGGTTCCGCCAACAAAGGTATAGAATGTATTTTGTAATAATTACAGTGTCACAAAAAGTCTTTGCCTTTATAACAGATAAGGCTAATAATAAATCTTTGTCCTAGTGGGGAAAAATGGTTCCATTAAATATTGGCTTTCAGTGGGCCTGGTGGTGTACCTCTAATCCTAGCACTCAGGAGGGAGGAGGGAGGGTAGCATTAAGGCCTGGTTGGGTTATAGTTTGAGTTGTATGAGAGACTCACTCTTAGAACATACACACACATACACAAAAACATGGGTGTTAAGTTTTGTAATCCGAGCCTCAGTGCACAGTGAAGTTTTGCATGTGGCTATCTCAGTCTTGAAGTTAAATTGCTCTGGTCTTTGGTTTTAGGCTCTGGCAATTACGTTCACTAACTTTATAACGGAACCATTAAAGCACATTGGAAAAGGAACTGGTGAATTCATTAAAGCGCTCATGAAGGAGATTCCAGTGTTGCTGCAGATTCCGGTGCTTCTGCTTATAGCGGCTGCTGTCCTGGTTAGTACATTAGCAGTGCTGATAGTGAATAAGATTTATAAAAAAGAAGGCAAACCTCAAATCATTAGACTTCTTTGCTGTAAATCAAATTGGAGTAATAGTACTGTGCTCATAGGTATAAGGTGGTTTTTAATGAGTTGAGATTTCATATATTCCTCTAATCGGTAGTTCTTGTGTTTGTGCACATCACAGCAAGTGGCTTAGAATAATTTATTTTTAAATTTAACGTGAACACACAGGAAATTGGTTGACTGCTTCCTCTGTGAGGAAATGGGGCTTTTATTCTAGTCTGAGCTTTGTAGAACAGAACAGAAAGGGGTGCAGGAGTGGGTGTGCATACTGAAAAGCAGTTGGAGCTCCAAGAGAAGATATTTATTACAAATATTGTTCTTAGTTCCCCCATGGTTCTGTGTTTGTGCCTCAAGTAAATCAAATGCCAGGAGCACTTCAGGGCTCTTGTTGCCAGAGTGAATCTCATGTCAACGTCTCTCTGTCTCAGAACATCTCTTACACGCATGCATTTTTGTCATGTGTTATCCCCTAGTTCAGCATCTTGTTGTTATAGCCATGACCTCTCCAAAACACGTGCTGTTAGAATCAAAAATGAAGACTCCCACGAGCTGGAGGGATGGCTCTTCCAGAGGTCCTGAGTTCAAACTCCAGCAACCACATGGTGTGTCTGAAGACAGGGCACTCATATAAATAAAGCTTTAAAAAAAGAGGGGGGGGGGCTGGAGAGATGGCTCAGTGGTTGGGAGCACCGACTGCTCTTCCAGAGGTCTTGAGTTCAATTCCTAGCATCCACATGGTGGCTCACAACCATCTGTAATGGGATGTCTCTTCTGGCGTGTCTGAAGACAGTAATGGTGTACTCATATACATAAAATAAATAAATCTTAAAAAAAAAATAGAGAGAATGCCCCAGAATTTGTGATTATAGTGCCGTTTGCACTGACTCAATTGTACCCTTTCCAGTTTTGTCTTGGTGTATGATTGATGATGAGATGCAGTTAATAATTTTCATCATTTGTCCATATATGAGTATGAACAGAAACATAAATTTCTAGAACTCTGTAATTAAAATTTTTAGGTCTCAATGACTGTTACCTATTCAAAGTGTATCAAGCTGATTGAAATGTTTATTTAATATTAGTTATTTAGTACATTTTATTGACTACTTTGACCCCCTACTAAAGAAGTTTATAATTAAAGAGTGACGTTAACATAGATTATATATATATGTGTGTGTGTGTGTGTGTGTGTGTGTGTGTGTATACGTATACATACATATATATACACTGTCAGACATTTTTGTTAAAGCCTGAATAACATAGTTCCTACTTTCTTATCTGTCAGTCACTGAGTCCTCAGTGCCTCTTTTTCTTCACAGAGCTTCTGCTATAGTGCTGGACAGTCAATTCCTATGCTGAGACTCTTTGGTGGTCCTGAGCGAGAACCTCCCCGAGCCCTTGAGCCGGATGACAGAAGACAGCAGAAGGAACTTGACTATAGATTCCACGGTGGAGCAGGTGACGCAGATTTCTCTTACAGGGGCCCAGCTGGCTCCATCGAGCAAGGCCCTTATGACAGAATGCATGCACGTAAGAGAGATGTTCTGAGACAGAGAGACGTTGACATGAGATTTCAGTCTGGCAACAAGAGCCCTGAAGTGCTCCGGGCATTTGATTTACCTGACACAGAGGCACAAGAGCATCCAGAAGTGGTCCCCAGCGTAAGTCAGCAACTGTCTGCTTTATACTCTAGGCCCATGTGCTTTTTACAGAGCTTTGATTGCTTTTATTCGGTACCCTCTGTCAGCCTGTCAGTCAAGTCCCAGTGACACAATTAGTCATCCTCTCTTCTGACACCAGTCCAGCTTCCTCAGAAAATGAGATTTACTTTGTATGTCAAATACCATTCGACCGTATTCTTCATACAGTTACAAGATCAGAGGCCTCACTGAGGGCCTAAGAGAGTGAGGGGACTAGCTATAGAGCTCTGGCCCAGCCTGGGTGGCTGTCGAGGGATCAGAAGCCCTATAGATTCTATAGTATAGAAGAAAGTAATAGCACAGTTGGCTGGGCTGGTTTACCTGCAAGATGTTAAGTTCTTCATTATTGATACTTGTATATTAGCAGTCCTGGGGATTGAACCTGGGGTCTCACACATGCTAAGCCACTGAACTACATTTTGTAGCACTGCTACTGTTTAAAGGAATATTTCCATTTCTCCCTTAGAAAGGAATTATTTGTAATGTTTGTTTGAGTTGCAACTAGAAACCTTTGAGAAAGCTGTAAGTCCATTAGACTCTAGGGATGACAGAGGTCTAGCTACGGATGCTCTTATGGATGTCACTGTATCTATACAGTGTATAGATAACCTGAGACTGCTCTTCCAGCTTCTATATGTGTTGACCACCTGTCACTCACTCCAAACCCCTCTAGTGTCATTTCCAAAAGCCATCTACCACAGTAGCCCTGGGGACTCCCTGCTTCACCATGTCCCAGGTCTACCACCTTACTGATCATCTGCTGTCTTGTGTGTTCATTCTGCATGTGTGACTGGGTCTCTGTTTTTGTTGTTGACTGTATGTTTACACACACACACACACACACATCTTCAGCTTTTACTCACATCATCTTAAACTGCAGTCTGAACATAACCTATCTCCCACCTACCACATTTCTTTCCTATGTAACCTGTACTTCAAACATAATACTCGTATCCTGTCTGATTCGTTCCCACAGCTGAATGCAGGCTCCTATGGGAAGGTTTTGTTTTGCCCCTTCTCTATTCCTAGCACCTAGAACTTAAAACAGGTCAGTACACATTTGTGAAATAATTATTCTCACCAGGCAAGAAGAGATGTATTATTATTGGTAGCCAATCCTCTTGACCTTTCCTAAGCAGGGTCAGCAGGCCATCTGTAATACCTCAAGTGTCTCCAGTCCTTCAGGTACAGTTTTGTGACGCTTAGTGCTTTAATTATGCAGCTCAAAAAACAGGATTTTAAATTTTTGGAGCAAGCTACAATGGATTTGGATAAGAATTGGCAATGAAACTTTACATTTTACTAAACAGTTAATATAATTCTATATTTTAAAGCATAAATCATCCATTGTGAATACAAACCTCGAAGAGATTGGTGAACTCCCAGGAGAAAGTACTCCGACAGAAAACAGCCAGCCTGCCAAGGATGTCTCTGGCCAAGTTCCCAGCACTGTTGAAAGCTCACCCATAGTGGAGAAGGCCCAGCTGAAGACAGATTCTGAGTGTAGCCCCCAAGGAGGCCACCCACACAGCACAGACGCTGCAGTGGCAGCCCGTGGGACTGAACTTGTCAGCAGCCCATGTGGCTAAAGAACAAGGCGCAGACCAGCCCCAGCTCCAGTCACCTTTGAAGTCTGTATTGACTCTTCATCCTTCCTTACAAATATGTTGAAATTTACTACAAAGCTGCCAACTTTAAATTAATAATTTTACAGACCATCAGAATATCTCTTAGCTGTTAGGATGTAGCTCATATTTTAGAACAGGGGTTTGTAAAATTTACATTTTTAAGTTAATGCTGTAGCAGACAGACACTATTAATTGGGGTGATATTAGCAGGCATTTAACTAATGTTAAATGTTGCTTTGGCTACACTGCTACACGACAGCTAGCAAAGCAACAGGATCCAACTGATCAAAGTGTGTGTTAGCTGATAGAAGGTCCTCTGAAGCCTGGTTTACTAAACAAGGTCTTTAATGCAGGCTGGTGTCTGCTGCTGCCACAGTCAGTCATCTGTGTTTCTAGATAGGCCACCTGCAGAACAATGTGACTTTCTGGTTACCAGGCCTGTATCCTTGTCATACATTTTTCATTAGGTCTCACTAAGACAAACCTGAGGATGAACTGGTTCTATTAATACTTGAATTTCACATTTTGCCAGCAACTGTGAGAAAGACTTTATTCTCTACCATGTAGTACTAGATTTAAAAATACCCATTTTCATGTTTAGAACCTAGCAGTTGCTTTGATGTTATTCAGTTTGCTATACTGTCTAGGCTAAATGTAATTCTAGTTTTCAAAGAGCTGTAGATAGAGAACAAGACGTATTAATACTTTTAAGTCAACGTTTTGTTTGTGATTTTTAAAGTGCATTCTCCATTTTATACCTTTTTAAAAAAGCAATTTTAACATTTTGTACAAGTCCGAGTTTGCACGCTTTCTGTGCACACGGTGTCCTTTGTTGTTGCAGCCGTATCCACACTGCATACTTTTATTCAACTGGTTTCCAAAAATAATACTGCTCAAGAATGAAGTCTTGGGCAGGCTGCTTCAACAGGGACATTCTGAATGGCTGACTTTTGATTTCTTTATACAAACGCATGATGTTCCTTTTTTTTCTACCTCAGTATCTGAAAAACTCATTTTATATGCCAATATAACTTTCTTGCTTATCTTGTAAATGGGTTTTTTTTTTAGATTAGATCATTAGATCATTATTAAGGGCAGGTTTATTGGAAATTGAGGCCAGAAGAGTTTCCATTGGGAAGGGTGGGGGCTGGAGAAAGAGAGAAAGGGCATGAACATAGAAGGAAGGGGAGGAGTAAATGCTTTTAGTATTTCATCAGGAAGGTAAAAAACAAAAGGATTCTACATTAAGACAGTATCATAGCAGACATGTAATGAATGGATGAGAAGGTATAAACAGTTTATTCATCTGAACATCTGTGTATGACGTAGTTATCTCTGTGGACTGGACCCACTCACCCTAACTGGTAAATGCACTCCCCAAGATCGGAAGGGAAGTGTCCTTTGAGCTCTGGTATAATTCTGAAGAGAAAGAAATGCCTCCTTTAATAGGTGTCCCTGAGAGGAAAAAAGCACTGCTGGTACTAGTGATTGCTTTTAATCCAAAAGTGAACCCCTTTAAAAACATTTACAGTCTCACCTTTGTATTTTTCATTACAGATGCCCATTTGGGATGGAATCTACTTTGACAGCTAGCAAAGCAACTTGCTGTTCTTGAGTGATTACAGCAATTCAGGGAAGACTTGATTAAAACAAGGTGAAGCTATCAAGGCCAGTTTATTGCAGAAAAGAGAGGCGGCTTGTCTCAAGTGACTAGTGAGACTTGCAAGTATTTGTCATTGAGGTTAAAGCACATTGTAACTGGCTTTTAAGAAAAGAACAGGGTAGGTAGTTGTTGAAAGCACTTTTTAAAATGGAATAAATGTTGAATGCTTACATTACATGGTCTTAACCACTGTAAACACAAAATAAACACATATTTTTACATTTTGGTCTAGTGTACAGTCTTTGCTTTCTTAATGAATTTTCTTCTAAGTGTCTACACCAAATGCAGACCAGATCACTGTCTTATAAACTCATTTGATGGTCTAACATTAACTAAGTCTTGCATACTTTCTGTGAATTTTCACGTGTTTTCTGCTTATGTACTTTTCTTAACCATAAGTCTCCTAAAAAGTAGGTCTTATGCTGTTTTATAGCTGTATTATGTAATAAAGGAGACAGATAACCCAAAGCATGCTAAAAGTAGTTTATTTCTCATCTCCCTCACTGGCTTTGCCTAAAAATATATTGAATATAGTTTTCTTAAACTAGAATTTTATGACTATTTTCATCTGTTTTACATAGGACATTATTTATATTATTTTCAATAAACAATGTAATCCACTATATTCATGGGCAGGTATAAAAAAAAGTCATTGTCAACTAGATCCTTAAAAAATGACCTCAGTCAGAAAGGACTGAATTCTAATGTAGGATTCATTTAAATTCCTATTACACAAACCCTAGCCAAGGAATCTAATAAGTCACCCAAGCAAAATCTCAAGGTCAGTTAAGTTGATGAAGCACCTTACAGGACATTCTGCCCTGAAACACATCTCGAGAAGAATGTCAGTCCCCCAGTACTCAACATTTACACCCTAAAAACGTGGTGACTGCTACAGTGCTGTGTAAGATGAATTTCCTGCAGTGTCCCGAGGGAACCAGGCCTTTTCTTTAGTAGGAAATACCATACCATCTTATGGTTTGCTAGTTATTTTCCTGAATGCTTAAATTCCAACAAAGCATTATTTTGCAGAAGTTCCTTTAGTCCAAACTCACTGTCTCTGTTTGGATCTCTCTGCAGCAGCACTCTCTGCTCATCCATTCTTTTAGCTTGAGAGCGTAAAATGAGGCTAAAGAAGTCTTCATCGGGGACAGTCGGCCCCTTTGTGGCAGCAGGTGGTGGAGCACATCTTTGATCATCTAATCGGGACCCCTAAATAAAGATGGAGAGAAATTGAAACAAAACAGTCAGAAAGGAGAATGCCAAGCTGTATCATCTGTCAGAAGTTAGATCCATAAGCATTTCTTTTGGCTTTTTTCAGAAACTTGCCTTCAGACCTGAAACTTGACAGATGAGAATACAGTAAGCATTAGGTAAAAATAGGCTTTGTACACTGCTACAACTGGTCACAAATCTGACACTAAAATGTCCAGGCATGACAGCTTCAAAATTAGAGTCTTGCCTATATAACATGTTTCTAGAATGGTCTAGGCCAGGGGCCAACAAATTATAATCTGCCTACGTTTGAAGCTGTTTGCACAAATGATTCAAATGGCAACCCAGAAGGGTTTTCTAACTATACAGAACAGATGTTCCCCAAGTCACTACCTATCCTGATCACCCACCACCCCTTCAACCTTTACTTTTTCTTCACAGTACCACTGCCACTCTCTCTTGCTTGTACACTGTACACACTTGCCCCTGTCTTTCCACTAAGACGCATGACCCTACAAAACCAAGAGCATCCTGATAACCCAAATTGTCCCTGTAACAAAGATGATTAATGGCGTTCTGCATGACAGGTAAATAAATAATGCCTTATCCACAGTGAGCTCTTCGGGACAGTAGACCATGCGGGTTCAGAGTCCCCAACACCCGGGTACCGACCTGAGACGGTAGGTGTGTCCCTTCTTACTAGACTCCTGGTCTAGAACAAGTGCCACACCTCTCACATAAGAAAAGTGACCTGTGGTCCCGTAGACCAAAACATAGTTATCCATGCTAATGAGGCACCTAGAGACCCCGAGGGTTTACCCAATACACTTTCTTTCCTGGACATTCCTCCCTGAAAAAGGTATTTAATCTCTGGTCTACCCTGAGGAGTTGGTATGCACCCATTTTCCACAATGAACAGTCAATAAACATGGATGAAGTTGGACTGTCTCTTTCATCAAGATCTGCTGTGGGAAGCATGGAGAAAGCCTTCGACTACCAAGCCTAAGTCTCCTGCAGAAGGCCTCTGTGCTCCCAGACAACCGGTGCTAAGCTAAGGACTCTCACCAATGAACTAAGCTGGAGCTCCCATTTACCAGGCCCCACGCTCATCATCCTCAGCACGCAGGCCTCCAACTGTTCCCAACTCCTGGAGATCCAGCAATGCCTGGATGTCCAGGAGTTTGGGAGCACCCGGTCCCAGCCAGCCTCTTCAGGCGGAGGATCCCCAGCTTCTCTGTGGTTTTCCAGCAGTGACTGGACACCCAGGAGTCAGAGAACTCCAAGCTTCGACCTCCCACATCCTTGGCTGTGTTTTCCCACCCCTTGAGTGATGTCTCGGTGCTTCCCTAAAGCCCAGCACCCAATGGCAGTGTACACTACAGGATGGATTAACTGTGTACTTACTTGACACTTTACAAGGATGTCGAAGAAGTCTTCATCAGGCTCTTTCTTGTCATTTGTCATTAGGCGCTCAAGTACAGACGGATTGTTGCCTTTTGTGAGACGGAGCCCTGGCAAATTACTGAAACTGGCCCTCTGGTCATCCAGACGGCGGCTCTGTGAGCTAGCAAGAAGATCTAAAAACTCATCTGTGTTGGGGGATACCACAGAAACAGATGGTGCTGTGGACAGGAAAGAATAACACCTAAATGTTACAAAAATGCTGAAATACCTATTTACACACAGCTTGTATGCACCCTGCCTTCCTCTCCTGCAGGGACTGTTGCTTTGTGGCCTTCCCCAACAGAGGGCAGGACGACTCCCAGGTGCTTCAGACTTATTTAGATCTCTCTCCCTTTATCTAGTGCTCCCTGAGGTGTTGGGCTGGATTTCAGAACGTGAGTAAACAGCTGGATTTTTCCTTATATAATTTCATGTTTCCTTCCATGTTCTGGACGGGAATCATTTAGTGAAGTAACAAGACTGGCCAGTCTTAACCTACTTTAACATTCCTGTCTCAGTGCCACATGCCAGGACTATGGGGTCTTTTACTGTATTTCCTATTATGGGAATATAATGGGATCTCTAAGAAATTACAGTACTAAAGATGATATTAAAATTGGGGAAAAGCATCACAGTTCTGCCTGTAAACCCTGCACTTGGGAGGGAAGCAAGAGGATCAGGAGTTCTAAGCCAGCTTTGGCTACTTAATGAGCTAGCCTGGGCTATGCCTCAGATAAATAAGCAAAATTGAAGGGGAGCAAAAATGGCTTACCTTTCATCAATTTGGGAGTAGTAGAGGAAGTTGTCGTGGATGCAGTGCGACAGTTTTCTTGTAAGTGGCACCTCTGGTCATCCATCCTGTTGCTTTGAAATCGCCTTAGTAAGTCAAAGAATCCTTCATCTCCAATTGTGTCTGAACTGATTTTCTAAAACAAAGAAAATCCAGTATGCTTAATTATTCCTCTTTACTCTTAGGTCGTCAATGAACACCATGATGTGGTTAAATATAAAAGGCAAAGGATACAGATTTTAAAAATTGGCCTTTTGTTTTAAAAAAGAAATTAAGTGGCAATAAAATGCTCCCGTATCAATCCCATAAAAACTGTTTTTATTTATTTAACTTTTAATTCCTGTATTTCTTAGGCCAAAGAAATATATCTGAAGCTTGGCTTGGATACTCATAACTATAACCTTCTAGAATCAAAAATGAAGAATCCCAGGGGCTGGAGAGATGGTTCAGTGGTTAAGAGCAGTGGCTGTTTTTCCAGAGGTCCTGAGTTCAATTCCCAGCACCCACATGGTGGCTCACAACCATCTGTAACTGTAGCTATGGGATCCGATGACCTCTTCTGGTGTGCGAGTGTACATCCATATACATACATAAATAAACCAATCTTAAAAGCCTATCAGTGGTGGTGCACATCTAAATCTCAGCACGTGGAGCCAGGTGTATCTCTAAGTTCGAGGCCAAACGGGTCAACAGAGTGAGTTCCAGAACAGCCAAGGTTACACAGAGGAACTGAACAGCCAAGGTTACACAGAGGAACTGTCTCAAAAACCAACCAAACAAAAAACCCAACAAAACAAAACAACAACAACAAAAAAGAAGAAAACAAGAAAGCATCAATCTTTGTAGGCCAGATACTGATGAGCCTTTTGGACTCTGGTGGCTGTACAGCTAGTTCCAAACACTTCCGTACAGAAGCTCCTCAAGAGGATCCGAGCAGCAGAAACAAAAATGGAAGGCTAATGCAAGCACATAGTCTACAAGCCTAGATAAGGGAATAAGTATTAGAGGAAGACTTGGTAGGGGGAATGTTTTAGAAGTGAGAAATTCAAATCTAAAGAACAAAACGCTCAAGTGTGGTGAATACAGGAAAGACAATCTGGTAAGACCTAGCTTTCTAGGCGGAGACAGGGCAGGGCAGGGCCTCCTACAAATGAGACGGGAAGAGTGGCTGACTCCAGATGTGAGCTGAATCTGATGTTTGGAAATGAAGTGCTTAAGCTGTAGCCAAATACGTCATCACCAAGACCTTGCTCTAGGTACAGAAAGCCTGTACTGTACAATCCTGAACATCAAAAGCACAGCACAATGCTGGGCATGGCGACCACACCTGTAATCCCAACCAGCCTGATCCACACTGAGTAAGACCTTGTCTCTAAACAGCCCCAAATGAAAAAAACCACAGTAGGTTTCAAGAGTAGAGAGATTTCAGCTCCGTTCAGGGTGTTTGCTGAAGACAGCCCTGAGCCCTAGTTCTGCATCCCTAGACTGTCTGTCTATACCCAGCCCCGTAATTCTTCCTTTTATTAGCCAAAAAGCATTGAAAAGACACTTCAAGGGTTATATAGTCATTAGTGAGATTTTGATTAAAAAAAAAAACCCAAAAGATGTTTGTTTTTTTGAAAGCCCTTCCTTGACTGAAAATGGAGTATGGTGAGGAATGCTCTCGACTGCTTTGATCCTGTTCATCAGAATAGAGAACAGTTAGGGAAGCTTACTGAGTTCTTCAATAACGATCAGTAAGACAATGGTGTCTTTATTTCTGAGTAAGTTAAATTCAG